GCCCCAATGCTGCTGGGTTCACTCAGAAGGAATTTCACTTTGAGTCTGCCCTACAGGGTGCCTGTGGGGCTGGGGTCTGCGAGTGCAGCTGTTCCTTGCTTCGTATGCACCAGGAGCTCTGACTAAATTTGTCCTATAGCCTGTCAACCCTGTGAAGTTTTCACCATTTCTTCCAGAGGTCTCCCATGGAGCCCCTCTGGGAAACTGGGCACAGTGATGCGCACACTGGCCACGCTCCTTTTCCAGCAGCAGAGCATGACCCCAAATGCTAAAAGCCCGGGTGATGGGCAGCGTGCCTCTTCTGCGAGCAGGGGAAGCTATGGGGAAGGCAGGCTGCCGAACTGGGATCACCAGGCCGGGGGAGGAGTCTTCGGCTCCCCTCTCCTGGAGCACAGAGAAACCTCCCTCTTTGGGAAGCAGCCGGGTGGCAGATGGCCGGGCTGCAGCGCTGAGCTCTCAGGGGGTGTATCATTTCTCTGGCTTGTTCTGGACGCTGATACCCATGTTGGAGAGGAGCCCCTCCTTCAGCTTGTTCCCGGCGTCTTTATGCCCTGATTCTTGTGCAGCTGCTACTAAAGATCACAGGCAACTTGAGCTGCAACCTCACTGGGACTCTTGTGGCTTGCCTGCTGCTATTCCTCCCCTTTGACACCAAGGTGTTAGGTCACATCCTTCCCTGTGCCCCAGGTTTTCTTTTATATGTGTAGGGGTCTCCAACGTATGATTTAATCTTTCAGCCACATGTACAGTTCAGCTTTGACCTCCTTTCTAATCATTGCAAAAGAAGGTAGGGACCTCTGACAGTGACCATGTGGTTTCAGAGCACAGCCAGGGACAAGACTAAGAATTGCATTGGGCTCATGAGAAATCGCCTGCACCCATGTGGAATGTATCCCATAGATACACATGTGCTATTCCACCACTTCCCCACTACAGCTATCCAAACTGCTTTGCGCATTGGGTGGCAGCTGCAAAGTAAGGGATGTTGTGACAAGTGAGTCACTTTGTCTCAGCTTTCTGAAATATTAATGGTGCTAGTGAAGTTGGGATGGGAAGAAAGACAGTGGGAAGGGTGAAGTTTTACAGTTACAGAGTACTCTAGCTTTTCTGACCTCTTGTAGGTGATTTCTGCAATAGTTGTCCTTGGTTAATGAGCTGTATGGAAGATGGCTTGTGCTGTATGGCAGGGAGAGGTAGAAGATTGAGATACAGTGACAGTTGTGGTCCACAATCTCAAATTTTTCATAGCTATTCTTAGAACCGCCAATTTACTTTCAGGAGGGACTTGATTTTCCTTTGGATATGTATCCTGAGACAGAATGTGTCTGTGTACCAGTTCATCCTCCTTGGGAATACTACCAGTTTGTAGAGAAAGGATATTGCTGACCTAACATTGCCTCCATTGGCTGAGAGTTTTTACATCAGTGATGCTGCAAACCTCAGGAGAAGCGATACATCTGCCTCCTTAGCTCAGTGATCTCCTTTCTGCCTTCTTCCCGCCTGCAAAAGGGTTTTCAGAGGTTCTCAACTGTAGCAGAGACTCTGTAGGACTTGCCACACCTGCAGGTGTATCACTGTTACATTAATGAGCAGTTAAAGAGTATTTGACAGACTGCATCCAGGCAATTCCTGTCTGACTTTTTAATCTTATGGATATGAAGTTTTTTATTTTTTATAGATAATGCTAAACATTCCTGAGCATTTCTGCTTTGTGTGAGGAAGGACCCCAAGGGCAGGCTTCTCATAGACTGCTGTACTACTTGCACATTTTCTTCTCCAAACCAAGGGGGCTGTTTCAGAAACCATTTATAAATGGAATGTAATAGAGCCAGGCTAAGTGAGAGTAAACGTAGGTGCAGCAGACAGGTTGAAGACGAGCACCCCGCGTTCGTCTGGACGAAAGAGGCCGGTCCCCATTAAGAGGGAAAATATAAATTGGGTAAGACTGAGAGTGATTGAGAATGCCTTGAGACATCTGGTTCCCATCTCTGGTTCTCATTTCTATCCTTATTCAAAGCGACAAATGCACAGTAGCTGTCTTTGAAAATGGATGGGAGTAGGAACTCAAAAGTACTTTTGAGAACAGAGCTTTTAATGTATTGAACACTGGGTGGATGGAGGAAATTTCTAGTGTTAGCCACTTCTGTGAAAGTCAAACTCAAACCAAATTGGTTAAGTCAACAGAGCCAGTCCCCAGGGGGAATCAGAGTTACATAGGCAAAGACTTCAGATGATCTTCTGGAACTGAAAGGCTTTCTGGATCACTTTTCTCTGAGAGGAGTCAAAATGCTGGAGCAAGGTAGGTGTACTTGTGCAAGTGGTAAAAGTATCTGTCTGATCCATGGCTCTCCCTTTTTCCTTTTTTTTTTTTTTTTTTTTCCCCTAGGGTAAAAAAGAAAGGGGGGTGGGGATGGCCAGAAAAATAAGAGCAGATAAAACCCTGTTGCTTTTGTTGCTTCTTCCTGGCATACCATGTCTCCCACTAGTTTTTCAGGGTCCTAGGGAAACTGTTTTTTTCAGTCAGTTGTTTTGGAAATAGCCAGAGCCTCTATATCAGATCTGATAAAATAATCTTCTGTCTTGAGCTCTGATAGGGTTGAACAATTGAAGTTGGGGGCTGAAACTCAGATGTCTTGTGAGAGTTTACAGTCTTTTTCCTTCTGTGCATCAATAAGGTGTTGCTTTCCCAGCATCAATACAGGTACTACTTTCCTGCTTTCAGGAAAGGATGTTCTCATCACTATTTCTCTTCTGAAAGCTAGTCAAATCTGTCTATTTTTGTTTTAATCAATGGCTTCAGTAAATGTCTAACATTTAAGCTGTGTATGATCAAACAGTATTCTTAAAGGTAAAAAGTTTATAAAGAGAATCTAGTATCACACTTTCTGCCAAGCTGTAAGTCCTTGCTGGAAGTTGATTTGGGTTCTTGAAGTATATGAAGAAGGCACCCTGGGAATGCACACAGCTACTTCAGGTAGGTGTACTGTGCACTGAATATTTCATTTAAAAGAGGTTAGTTTTTATCCTAAAATTAGTACTTGAGGCAGCTCAGAAATCATTTCATAAAACAGTCAGTCCTCCTTTGCTGGCTGAACTTTGTCAATGCAGGGGACCGTTTCAAGTTGCATTTGTTTCATTGCTGATATTAGTGGGGCAAAGCAATGATTCTTGGAAATGCTAATGCTTTGTTTATGTCACATAGAAAATAGCAAACTCCAGACTGCAGAAGGCACTAGATCCAGCTACATCCAAGCAACTGTTGTTAAATACAACCAGAGGAATGGTAATGCTCCTCCGGTGAGAGGAGGTATCTGTGGGAGGTCAGCTTGCATTTGACGTCAGGAAGAAGCAGGCTAGTGAGGACTGATCTGCAGGGTGGTAGCATCAACTTCTCGCCACTTGAGGAGGAAGAGGAATGCTGCCAGATGGACATAGCTTGAGGAATTATGTGGTATCTGTTCCTTCATTCTTGCAGTCACTGTCTGGTCATGGTCCTTTCAAAGACACCCAGTCTTTACCAAAGGCATGAAGCCTGCTTTCTTAATAGCTAACTTCTGGTTGGCTTTTAACAACCTTTCTCCAGTTGGATCGTGCTTCTCCATCTCTTTGTTAAAAAATAATAGCTTTTGTAGTAGTTAGCAATTTCTCAGGCAAACACAGTTCTGTAGCACTGGCATGGTTCCATTAATCATATAGAGTAATCCGTTTGTGCCAAAAACCTATCAAGTTGAGCTGCCTTTTTGAGAGCTGGTGGGAATGTGTACCCAGTGGTGTTCTTGCTGGCATATGGACTTCCCGTGTGTGCAAGAATGACTGGGGCATGGGGGGGTCCCCCTTAGCTGTGCTCAGGGTACACAAGCAGGCTGAGAGAGCCTGGCAAGTCTCAGGACTCAAAGTGATATGAACAGATCTTTGGGAAGTTTTATATTTAGGGACACATGGCCTCAGCAGCCATTTTTTATTCCCTCCCCTGAAATTTTCAGCAGTCAGAATAAGGGCCTCAAGTCTCATTAATATAGACAGGAGTTCTTTTAGCCTTAAGCTCCATCAGCAGTCTAATGTGTGTCAGATGGGGACATTTACCCTGAATGCCAGATGAGGGCAAGAAATGTGTGTTTCCTTTGGTTATATGGTGAACTTCTGGGAGCGGAAGGGAGACTTAATGTGGCCCAGCTAGAAGATTAGAAAGATCATTCTAATAGCAATGTGTATGAAAAACTCAGGTGTTCAACTTGATCATCTTGGAGACTAGAGAGACTTCAGTCCTCTGGGCTGAGCCCTGCTTGAGAAGTACACTCATGTTGCATGAATGAGCCTTGTTGCATGGCAGAATCCAAGCTGTGTGTGTTAACTGGGCTGTGCAGATGTCCTGCCAGAGCCGCTGATGGAGGAACAGGCAGAAAGTGGCAGCATCTTTAGGGACAGAGGGGAAAATAGGGGTCACAACAGGAATATAGGAAGCATACAGCAAAGCGAGTAGGACTCAAGCAGCTATGGAAAGTGGCAGGGCATTGAACCAGGGCATAGAAATCTACGTAAGAGGCAGAAAGAGGAGCAGGGCTTAGCTACCTGCAAATGTGAGGAGCAAATGGAAAGCTGAAGAAGAGGGTCTCCACATGAATTGGGCAGAGACAGAAGGGGATCAGGCTTGTTGGCCTCGTTGCATCCTATTTTAGTAAAAGATTGATGTTGGTGCTAGCAAAAGGCACAGCCCATGGGGCTGAGCTAGCATATTTAGCTTGTTATTTCAAGTTGGAAAGAAATAACAGTAATGCAGAGTCCTGTAAGTTCTGTGTGTATAATGTGAAATCCCATGGTGCTGCAATGAGATTGCTGTGTTTTGGGAACTCTGTAGAGATGCACCTAACCATAGCTGTTGTGGGGCATGGTTCTCCTTCAGGTGTCAGCTGTGTCTGTGTTGTGTACGTTCAAGTTGTTGGTTCCACCAGGTGTTTGTGGCAAACTACAGTGAGTGTGTGGGACTTTGTTTCCTTGGTTAGATCCCAGACGTTTCACAGCTACCTGGAGGACATCATCAACTACCGCTGGGAGCTGGAGGAAGGGAAACCCAACCCCTTGCGGGAGTCCACCTTCCAGGAGCTGCCTCTACGCACCCGGGTGGAAATCTTGCACCGCCTCTGTGACTACCGCCTCGATGCAGATGATGTCTTCGACCTTCTCAAGGTGCTTTGGGCAGCAGGGAAGGGGGAAATGGGGCAGCTGGGCCAGATCAGTGAATCTGCCTGGGAACAGAAGGGTTGATGCTATTAAATGCATTTTAACACCAGGTAACTGGTACCGGTGCAGTGGGTCAGCAGTTCTCCATCTCCTCTCTTGCCTTGCAGAGGACCCAAGGCAAGCACTCAGGACTGCTCTTGGGGCCCTCATCCTGAGTGGATGTATTCGTAACATGGGAGTCACTAAGTAAATTGGCTTTATTGGCTACTCTTCCTGAGAAGAGTGAATTTGGAGATGCTCCAATGGTAATGGCAGGGCTGCGAGAGCTGAGACTGCCTTGCTGAGGGATGGTGTGAGATGAAAGGATGGGGGTGAAGTGTAGTGGGGGAGCTGGGGGAAGGGTGATGGCGGGCAGGGGGGAGGGAGCTTCTCAGGGCTGTGTGTGACTGTCGCCAGCTCTAATTAGCCCTTCCCTGTCAGGAGCACCAGAGATGAAATGTTAAAATGAGAGAGGCCATTCAAATTAGAGATGCCAATCTCAATCTCTCCCTGCACAGAGAGCGAACATCGCCTTCCCCCTGGAGTAACATTTTCCCAGCTCTGGCCTGGAGGAGCAGCTGTACTGCTGCTGTGGCATGGTGGGAGGGGAGGAGGGAGGTGTTTGCGGAGGGTGTCATCATGTTTTGTGTGACAATGTGGCCGCTTTTCAACTTGTCACCGTCTGGTGGGGGGCTTCCCGATGGGCACAGGGCTTGGATGCCGACAGCCTCCGCGTGGAGCCACTGGGCGAGGACAGCAGTGGTGCCCTGTACTGGTACTTCTATGGCACGCGGATGTACAAGGAGGATCCTGTGCAGGCGAAAACCAATGGAGAGCTGGCTCCAGACAGGTAACAGTCCCCACAGCATTCCCCCTGTGTCTGGGTGCAGGGGGCAAGGGGGGCACGGCACAGCCAGCCTGGCTGTAGGGGACTCCGCCTGACTGCTGTTGTGTCAGGGGGCTGCAGGGGGGAGCCTGGGAGAGGGCTGGGGCAATGTGGGCGAGATTGGAATTGCCAAGCAGACTGCGAGCTGCCCCACCGTCGTGCATTGTGTCAGAGCCAGCCTGCAGCCTTTGTGGCACCAGGAGAGCCTGCTGTGGGAACGATGCTGCCTGCCCCACTGCATTCCTCCCCGTCTGCCCCGCACCGTGCCGGCGGCTCCCAGATCAGGCTTCCAGCCAGTGGGAATCCCTTCTCTCCTCCCCTCCCTGTCCTGTTGCTGCTCTGATTTAATCCCTTCCTTTAGTGGGGTTCCCAGCAGCTGTTCTGACTTCCCTGCCCGTCTTCCATCCTGCCAGCCACAGGATGATGAGCCCTTGCTCAGCAGATATTTCATGGTGGGTTTGCTGTTTCGCAGGGGATGCGGGGGGCAGACTAACACCCCAAACGTTCCTGGGAAAACGGGCAAGAGACGAGGGCGACCCCCAAAGCGGAAAAAACTTCTGGAGGAAAACCTGCTGAGGTACGGAAAGGGTGTTCCTGCAATAGATGTGAAATGCATATATATGTATAGGGAAGTATAATGTACTTCTGGGGTTCCCCCAATAAGTATGTGTATACCAAGCAGCCATAATTTCATTGCTTCTCTGAAGTGAAGCAAGCTCAGACTTGGTGGGTACTTTGATCACTCTCCAAAGACAATTCTGAGTGAGCTGGATACCAAGTGTGGTGGAACAGTGGGTATCACTTTCCAGCCACCTCACTTCGGATGCAGTTCCTCTGAGCAGTGCTAGGGGATATGCTCTTAATAAAGAATACTTCAATGGTGTAATGCTTGAATCCAAAAATCCTGGCCTCTTGAGCCAGTATAGATTTTGGGCTGCTTCCCATGAGAATTGAAATACTGTTCTTGCCAAACTCCAGCCTTGACTTCTTAAAATTTTATGAAGCTATGAATAAATATATATGTGAAAATACATATTGGACATGTGTGTGTTCTGCATGATGGTGTTTATCATGGTTTTGCTGTGCATTGAATAGTTGCTCCCCATTCTTCTCCTCAGAATTGGTTATGAATTGATCAATGATGTGAAGTAATATATTTATTGTGTCACTCCTCTTTCTTTTTTTTTTTTTGGCAGGGAGAAGGCAGAAGAGAACTTGCTAATCCGTGAGACTCAGATAAGAAATGGTAAAGAGATTTTGCCTGGTCAGGGTTGATACAATCAGCTAACATGACTCTTGAATCATCAAAGCCTAGAGAGATGCCTTTCTCAGGAGCAGGAAAGTCTCTGCTGGTGTCTGGGGCTGAGTTTGGAAGGAGGGGTTGGCATCACAGGCTGCCCTGCAGCTGGGAGCTTGGGCACCTGCGGGCTTCCTACTTTATCGTGGATTAGTTTGGGATGAAGAAACCTACCCTATTGGGTTACACTAGGCCTCGGGGGCTGACCTACACAAGTGAAGTTGATGGAAACTGGCTGTGAATAGCACAAGCCCCTGTTTGTAGCCAGTGAGGTTTTTTGGACTGGAAAGAGAGTGGGGTCAACAATGCCAAGATAAGGAAGGAGAAAGCTTTTCATTTCTCCTCCCCTCTCCTTCCTTGTGCCATTGGGTGTCTGAACTGTGTAAATAATCCCTTGGGGATACCCACCTAAGGGTTAACAAAGCAAGCAGAAAAAGTTAAGTTGGCAATGTAATGAGAATGTTGAGTTTGAGGGGGCTGGGACTCGTTTGTCATACATGTGCACCCAGTGGCTTCTACATAACCCAGGAGCTCAGCCTGCTCATCTCCCCACAGTAAAAGGCAAGGGTGGCATTGTCTTTGCCATGCCTCCTTCCCTTTGCCCTTTGTCTTCAGATTTCCTGGCGGCTGCTTGGGAGTGATGCACGTGAGGCTCTGAGGGTTTTATCAGATCATTGTCTTCCAGCAAATTGTGCCACTTCAGCTGCAGAGTAATCTCCTGGCACAAAGCAGTGCTGTAGTCCTGCTTGCTATTGAAAGGAGTTGGCCATAGGCAGCTGGCAAGGGAGGGGGAATAAGGATGCAGTGTGCAGGTAAGCTCCCCACTGCAGTGGGCAGGGAATGGCTTCATATAGCCAGGGAGACAGAAACCAGCACACGTTTGGTCCTTTGCCATCTCGATTACCAGTCCCCAGTGCATTAACTGGAGCCGAAGCCAATGGTGGGTTAAGCTATAGGCTGGCCTGTTACTTGGAGCTAGCACACCCACTATGGTATGGAGGTTTCTAACTGAGAGCAGGTGGCTGGAAGGGACAGTACAGCTTTCCTGTCTTCCTGGGGCAATCTGATAGCTTGTGTGACAGAGCCACTGGTGGCTGAGATCCACAAAGGGCCCAGAGTCAGGTTCAGAGAGAAAAGGCTCTGTTTTTTTCTTCCCTGTATTTTTCATAGTTAATTTGCTTGAAAATGAGGTGAGAAGCTGCAGGACATCTGCCACTGTGGGGATAGTGACCATGGATTTCTTTCCAGTAGCCAGTGGTTAGCTCTAGAAAAGTCTAGAGGGAGCCAAGAACCCCTCAGCCTGAAGGAGTTTGAGCCAACATCTTCCCCCTCCCCCAAAATGGGCCACAGCCCTTTTTGCTTAGAGAGTGTCCTGGGGCAAAAGCATGCAAGTTGTAACCCATGAGGTTCTTCTGCTCTGTAAACATTTGCAGAGCAGGAACCACACTTCCCCTCTCCAGGTGGGTGTTCCAACCACCACGCGAGACAGCCTTTCCTTTGCAATTAATATTCAAATGTTTCACACAAGGCAGAACAGCTCTGAGTGTCTTGGTAGTTGGGACATGCTTCAGAGCAGCGGGTGATCTGCTTCAGACCCCACTCTGGGTTGAGCAGGGATGGGATGTGAACTTTTGGAACTTCCCCCTCATCTGGCAGCCCGATGAGCCCCATCCTTTACTTCCTTTTCTGTTCCTCTTCTGTTCTTTCAAGTGTCTGCAAACAAAATGTTTCATTTGGGGAGAATGGGAGGTTTTGTTCACCGCAGCCAAGGTTTGCAGTGCTAAAAGAAAAAGGTTATTTCAAATAACATTCATTTTTGATGTTTTTATTCTGCTGCCAGACTGTCAGACATTTGCATTACCCTATGTTCTGCCCTAGCTGACAGACTCCATTACAAACCCTTTTTTCTCGTCTGTCATAACTGGAATGGAGGTTTGCTACAGGGATGCCATACTACCCATGTGTTGCAAAGTGGCACCATTATTTCCTCACCTGTGTGCTTCCTCTGTGTCCTGGCATCACTTTCTAGTGCTGCTAGGGGATGTAGCAGTGCTTCTGGTGGACGAAGAGAGCTTTGAGTCTATAGCAAAGAGCATGTTTCCCATAACAGTGGCCATTGGCAGTACCCTTTGCCCTTCCTGAGGCCTGAGTAGAGAAGAGAAGGGATAAAGAAAAGCTGTTACTCATAACTGCTGTGGAGATAACATCCTTTCATGTCGTTGAAGGGTCCCAAGGGCCTGGCCGTGGGACATGGTGGCTGCTGTGTCAGACGGAAGAGGAGTGGAGGCAGGTCACAGAGAGCTTCAGAGAGAGAACTTCCCTTAGAGAGCGGCAGCTCTACAAACTCTTGAGTGAAGACTTCCTGCCGGAGATCTGCAACATGATTGCACAGAAGGTGAGGAGACATGACATCCTGTTTACCTCCCTTTGACCGCTTCCAAGAGCATGGACGTTTGCTGATTGAAGGAGAGCTAAATTCAAGCAGCCTGTCACCCTGTCCTGCTTCCTGCCGCCTCCAGCCTGCAAGTGTTGTGGATGCAGGAGCCATTCAGCTTGTGTATGGGGAGAAAGGCTCTCCCCAGTGGAGTGGCAGGGCTAGAGTGGATACTTATGGATCTGGTTCATGATTGCATGGCAGTATAGGTAGGATGACTGAAGAGGTTACTGTCTTCAGCCATGTTCTTTGTCCCTTTTCTCCTAGCAGGGTATCTATCTGCTTTTGAACTGCTTTGATTTTGATTTGAACAGCCTAGCTTTTCTATGCAAACTGCTGTGATTCTACTTTTACTGCTGTTTCTCTCAGCTGGCTCTGCTGAAGGGGGCAGTGGCTGCTCGAGCTGCTATGTCAGAGCCACGAAACCCTGAAGGGTACTCTTCATCAACTGAATGTTTTCAGGTGGGACAGATTTGGCACAGGATCCTTCGGCTAGATGGCTTTGTAAAATGTGCTCTGCAGTCAGCGTGATGTTCTTGGATTGAGTTCAGTTTGCTTGTTTTCTACCCTTGTAAAGCTAATAGGGATTTCATGGTCGCTTCTAGCCCCCAGAGTTTCTCCTGCCAGTATCACCAATGTGCCCTAATTTCCTTCACTCTCTCTTTCCTTCCCTCACTTCTCAACCCTGTTTCAGGAGAAGCGTCTGCAGCGGACAGAATTTTCTCCCAGGTGGATGTCTGACCATCAGCCCATCAAACCAATCAAGCAGGAGGTGAGGGGGGGTGCGAGGGGGAGGACTACGGAGGGAGGCGAGAGCAGATGCCTCCTGGGGGAAAAAATAAACCGCAGCATCACTATTCAGTGGGAAGGAGTCGTTTGAAAGTGCTTGCGCTGAAAGAGAGATGGGTGGTAATGCCCGTCAAAGGCAGGCTGACACTCGGGGTTTCTATGGCGAGCAGGGAGGTGCTGCCCTCTGGATCGCAGAGGTAACCGGCCTTGCCACAGACTCCTGTGCAGCTGCATATGGAAATCTGCACTCAGTCTGGGGAATTCCACTTCAATGAAAGTGCTGGCACATTCGAGGCAGTTCAAAGAAAAGTTGAAGAAGGATGAGAGGGCTAGAAGAACCGGCTTACAAAGGGAAATGACAGAAATTCAGCCAAGGGGAAAACGTGAGGCTGCAAACACATGAGGGTGTAGATAGCACGGAGGGAAAGAAGAATGACTGGTGCAGGACAGAGCTGAGAGAGGAGGGGGTCAGCTGGAAATGGAAGTCAGATTTCGGCTGCTTAAAGAAATGCTTATCAAACTGCAGCCTTGTCGTCTGAAACGCCTCTTTCCCTGCCTCTTCACCCTCATCTCCTCTCCACCGCATCAGTGTAACAGCGCTGGTGCTTGCGGGGCTGTGCAGTGAACCAGACCCAGGAAAATGGCTGAAGTTAAATATAACCTTTTTCTTTGGGCAGGGTTATTTTTAACGTAGATCAGCTTCCCGATCCAGTTCACCACACAGCCCCCAACAGTCACGCTGGCACAGCCAGGGGCATGGTACAGTGGAGATGGGGGGTCTTTGAACTGGCAACTACTACCTAAAGTAATCGGTCAGGCAACACGGGATTAGCTTTGCAGGAAAAAATTGGCTTGATTCTATCGGGCCATGGCATAATCTCTTGCTGTAGATTAATGAGAAATGGTGTTTTGTCAAACCCTGGGAAATTAAACTGCAGGGAATATTCCACGTGAGCCAGGGTCAGGGGTTCCTGCAAAACAAAGGAGAAAGTACAGCGCTCCACAATAAATATAATTACTTAGAATAGGTAAATAAGAGGAAGGAAGAGCCTCTCATCATGCTGTAGATAAAAGCCTGCCGAGACGAAAATACAACCCCAGCGATGGTCAGTTTGGGGCCAGAATTGCTCTCTGCAAGGCCCACCATGCAGGAAGCCCAGGGACACGTGTTTGTTCACAGGCAGCAGAAATCCCAGAGGAGGAGGGGAGTGGGAAACACATGGAGCCTGAATGATGCTAATCAGTACCGCAGGTGCTCCAGGTCTGCTGCGGCAGAGGGCTGTTAATTGCTGCCTGTGGGCCAGTGAAACGTTTCCAGCGAGCGGGGGGCCCTCTTGGCACCCGCTGCGCCGGGGTGCAGGGAACCAGCCAGCGCAAGGATGGTGATGCTCACGCCAGCTCCCCGGCAGGATGTGGCAGTCATCCCTGCGCGGGGAAGGTGCCAGCATGTCTGATGGCTTGTTTGCTGAGTGAAGGGTGGGCAGCAGGCGAGTCTGGGGGAGAAAACCTCAGCCTGGCGCAGGGGTGACGCCTTCTTCCCGATTCTGTGAGCTGGATGCTGCTTTGGTCTGAGATATAACTGCTCCGTAGGCTCCTAATCCTGCGGGGGATTTCTCAACAGGTGGTTCAGATTAGCTCCTCATTAAAGAGCCGCCTGAGCAGCACCCTCATTAGGGTAGTGCTGCGGAAACTGGAGCAGGGAAGGTTTGGAGGATGAGGGGCCAGGACGTGTGGCTGGAGGGGGCCAGGGCACCCGAGCCTCCTGGCCTTCTGCCCCTGAAGCCTGATATCCACTGTCTGGAGAGCAAAGCAAAAGGCATAAATTTGGCCCTTTCGGGGTCCCTGGGGGGAAGGCAGAGATACTGTGTCCTGGAGTGCTCTCTGGCGGAGGGAAGGAGATGGTGGTGCTGCAGTCACACGAGAGGGTTAGGTTTTATCCTCGGAGTGGGGAGGAAGCTGGAGAGCGTCCCTTTGGCACCTCTTTGGTCAGGAAGGAAGTTTAACTTGTGTTGGAGTCTTGTTTTTATCATTCCAATAGGCGTCTGCTTCCACCACATCTGATAGGAGTTTGCTTGTTTGTATTGACTTACGCTTTTTAACCCTGAGTTAAGCACACTCATCCCTAATGGGTTTAAGTGGGACACCAGGCAGAAGGTACCTCTGAAAATCAGGTTGTTTATGTGTCTGAATCATCTCAAAGAGCCCATGCCAGCATTGCTGATGTCCTGCAAGCACTGCAGGGAGCGAGCGCAGTCGTGGATGTTTGTTGCAGTTCTTGGTGCTCACTATACTGCGTTTGTGGTTTCTGCTTTTCCCTTTCTTCTTTTCCTAATTCAGCTGACATCCTCTCCTTTGGTTCAAATTGTCCTGTTGCTTTGTTAATGCTATATTTTTGGTGGGTTGATCTGGAATGTGCTATGGATTCTGTGTTGTGTCACTATAGGGTGCTGAATGCACTCTGCAGGCTTGAAGAGGTCCTGGTGTGAGCACTGCAGCTTGGATGTTGTGTTCATGTGTCCATAGGACAAGAATGGTGGAAGCTGTATGAATTCAGGGAAAAGGAAGGTCTGAGCTGTGCGCCAGCAATTGAAGAAATCAGTGTGGCATGCCAGGATGGCTTAGATCTACTGGATGGAGAATTTAAAGGCTGATGGTCACATCCTCAATAAAATATCTTGGTGTACCAACTTCTGGTGGCTGGTTCATGCTCACCTCTTTCTCTTCTAATTGCTGTAGAATCTAACTTTTTTGGTACCTTTCTTTTGATCAAGAAAGTTCGGAGGAAACTGCTTGATGGTGGTCAGGATCAGACCTGAAAGGAAGTTGTTTGCAATACAGGAGTAGAAAATCAGATGGTAGAGCAACTGAGAAAGGGATATGGAAACAATCAGAAGTGGAAATGTAGAACTCAGTTCTGCAGGTTTTTGACCTCTTGTACTTGGCACAGCAGTTTCATTCCTGGGCACCCTGGTGTTTGGATATTGATCTGTTGGAGGAAAGGTCTGAGAGAGACAACTGAAATGATTAGGGAGCTGGATGGATTGCTTTATAAGGAAACATTATCCTAATTGCAGAAACGTGGGAGTTTTGTGTAAGTGTCTGAGGAAGCCCATAAAGGCTTGAGTGTGGCGGAAGAAGAGGAGAATTTATGTTCACCCAGAAGAGCGTAACCAGGAATAATTGGATGGAGTGAAGGGATGAGAAATTAACTTTTGACTGAATGTGAGGAGAAGCTGGCTAATCTAAAAGCATGTGAAGTCACAGAATGGTTTTCTTTGGGAAGGGGTGGAAGCGTGAAGTTCTAATAGTTGACAAAGATATAAAAAGGAAAAGAAGATAAGCAGAGTTCCCTTATGGTGAGATCATGTTGTGCGTTCCACCCAAAAAGATCAGCACAGAATAGGTGTTTTTGCTGTCCAGTCTGTCTCTAAATGTCCTGATGTTAACAAGGGTCCCATCACTCTCTCTTGGACACTTCTCTGTGGCCATTCGTGGTTGAAGCAAAATTCTCTGAATATGTATTGTTGCTGCTGGAAAAAAGGATATAATACACAGTGCTCATTCATGGAGAGCTGCAAAGGGAGATTATAGGGCAGTGCTGTGTAGGGAAGGGAAGGCAGGGGGGAATGAATGTACTGTGAAACCGGACAACATTTTATCAAAACATCCTGAGGTTTCACTTCTGGGCAATGAAACAAGGACAAAATAGTAATTATGGTGCCAGATTTTTTTTCAGGGGATTAATAATGGGCCTGTAGAAGTTGATGGTCTGAGCTGCAGCCAAGGGACTCCAACTGACTGCTAATCCTCAGGAAATGCCTTCTGCCTTAAGTGGTGGTTGCTGGTTATTCCCTGAAAATGAAGGTGTAGAAAGCTGTAGGCCCGTTGTTCTTTTCCAGTTTATATTCCCTGCTGATAAGGCACGCATATCCCGGTCTTGCAGAAGTCAATGAGGTGGGAGTGGCTGGTGGATGAACAATTCATTTGCCTTATAATTAAATTCAGCTAATAAAGGTAATTCCCTACTGCCATATACGTACTTTGCACTTTACTGGAGAAATAGGAGCAGATGACCCTGGTTTGGGAAGCTTACGGTCTCAGTAGGATCAAGCACAGCCTTGCAGCCTTCTGGCAGTGGAGAGGTGAGGAAGTGGGGCAATAAAGAGTTCAGGCATCCTTGACTGAGAAAACTGGTTGGGGGACCCAGCAGGAAAACTGGCCAAACAAATGAACAAGAGCTAGTTCAAGGGATATTAGCGTGCATAAATATGGCTGGTCTTGTTTTGAAAGGAAAGCACTCCAAACAATACCTTGTACCAGTTTCTTTTCCTATTCAAAGTACTTTGTGGTTTATAGCAGGGCCAGGTTCAACAGAATACTCCTTTTTGCTCATGCTTGCAACCTGGGGATCCGCTCGCTGGAAGGGGTAGTGGTGTTGTGTTAGGGTGTCAACAGCCCTTTTGCCCAGAAGGGAAATACACACGATCCATCCCTGGCTTGTCTAACCCATCGCTTCTCTTTCCTTTGTCCCTGTGTCAGTAGGATTTCATTGCTTGACAAATAACTTTCCTCTACATGTTGCTTTTCATCAGAGAATTCATATGCACACATCCTTTCTTTTCCCCCCTTTTTTCCTCCCAGCCATTCATTGTAGGTATGCTCTAATGCTTGCTCAGGGTAAACCTGCCTCTGCTCAGACTTCAATAAGCCTATGCATTACAGTGTTTGTTGCACCATTTTGTCACAGGTAAACCCAAATGTGCTGAGTTCAATGGAGAAGCAGAGGCGCAGAGAGGAAGAGGAGGAACGCCAAATCCTCATAGCAGTGCAGAAGAGGGAGCAAGAACAGCTGCTAAAGGAGGAGAGGAAGAGAGAGATGGAGGAGAAGGTCAAAGCAGTGGAAGGTACGTGCATGCGGCCAGTGTGAAGCAGGAGGGGAAGCTTTCAAAGCCGAGATTGAGATCTTGATCTGCCATTTGCATCCCTCCCCTGCCAGACCTGCTAACAGGAATATCTTTTCTGGCGCTTACCTTGGATAAGTTGGTCTGACGGCAACTTCTTTTGCTTTGTCTATCTCCCTTACTATTGGTGGCTGCTCTCTAGTGCATTCTTCAGCTGCGTTATCTTCAAACCATGCTTATTTTTCCCCTTGTCCCAGCTGGGGGTAGCAAGAGTAGTATTTTTGTATTGCTATTGACCTTACTATTTGGAGAACTAAAGATGAGGGGACCAAGCTAAATAGAGCGCCAGGGGTGCCAGCTTCAGGTGTTGGTCTTGTTTTTTCATGGTTTTGAATTAAATGCTGATTTAAGCTGTTCTGCAAGAAGCAGCTGTGTTGTGTTTAATATGATCAAGCCACAGACAGCAGGCATTCAGCCAGTACATGTAGGCACTGGTGTCTTAAGAGCAGGCTCATTTCTGACCACCTTCTCTCTGCCAGTCTCCCTTATGGGGATTCCTTTATCTGCTGCTTTTGCTGCAGTGGCTGGCTGGGCTTTTGCCGTTCGTCTTCAAAAAGCTGTGGTGGTAATGTGTGGTGGTATCAGAATTGTGGATATTTAAATGGATAAAGAGTCCAAAAAGGAAAAAGGATTAAGTTCATGCAAACCTTGTAAACTTTCCAAGATGAAACAGTCTGCTACCAGATGTTTGCTAGCAGACCAGATGTTATCTAAGAATAGCTTCTTTTACCTGCTTACCTTTTTAACCTTTAGAAAATCCAATTACTTGCTTGGCCTCCATATAGTCCTGGTTGCCAGTCCTAGCTAATCCAGTGCTTTAAACTGAGAATCATCTAGCCTTCAATATCAGCCACATATATCTCTCTCACCTTGGCAAATTGCCTAGCCTCTGTGCTTTAACTCTCCATCCGTGTAGACAATATTAATCTCAAAGTTCCAGAAGAGCTGCAAAGATAAATGTACCTGTAAAAAAATTCTTATTCTACTATAAGCCATGTCCTTTTCTGGGTAAATTCAATCACTACATCATCTGGGTACAGTATTGTTTAACTTGCTCACCAATTACTTGGATGAAGGGATAGAATGCCTCCTCAAGTTTGCTGCAATACAAAACTGGTAGGAGTGGCTGATAGCCCAGAGTGCTGTGCTGTCGTTCAGAAGGATCTAGACAGGCTGGACAGATGGGCAGAGAAATTCAACAAAGGCAAGTGCAGGGTCCTGCACCTTGTGATGAATAACTCCATGCACTATTACAGGCTGAGCCCTGACCTGCTGGAAAGGAGCTCTATGGTGAGGAGCCTGGGGGTCCTTGTGGATGAGTTGTCCATGAGCCAGCCGTGTGCCTCTGTTTCCCACAAGGCCAATGGTATCCTGTGTCCATTAGGAAGAGCACTGCCAGCAGGTTGAGGGAGGTGATCCTCCCTCTCTACTCAGCCCTGGGGAGGCCTCTCTTGGAGTGCTGTGTTCAGTCCTGGCCTCCCCAGTACAAGAGACACAGAGCTCCTGGAGCAAGTCCAGCAAAGGGCTACTAGCATGGTTAAGGGTCTGGAACATCTCTTGTATGAGGAAGATCTGGGAAAGTTGGGTCTGTTCAGCCTGGAGAAGGCTCAGGGGCATCTAATAAATGTATATAAGTATCTGAAGGGCGGATGTTAAGAAGATGTATCCAAACTCTTCTTGGTGGTGCCAGGAGGTAGGACAAGAGGCAACAGGTATAAACTAAAACACAGGAAGTTTCACCTGAACATGAGATCAAACTCCTTTACTGTGAAGGTGGCTGAGCACTGGAATAGGGTTCCCAGAGAGGTTATGCAGTCTCCTTCCCTGGAGGTATTCAGGAGCTGTCGGGACACAATACTGAGCAATGTGCTGCAGGTGACCACGCTTGAGCAGGGAGGTAGGGCTGAATGACATCTGGTGGTCCCTTCCAACCTCAACCTTCTGTGATTCTGTGGTGATGCAAAGCCACCAGAGAGCCACTCAAAGAAACTGGCATGGGATTGGGCAATAAACTGTTTTAAGCTAATTTAGCTACATTCATGCTTTTCTTGGCAGACATGCTTTTATTTTGGTTTGTGCAATTCCAGTTTAGTTTAAATTTGTCCCTAGTCAGTTTAGGCTATGTCAGGAGTGTCCATTTTGAGCTGGTGCAAAAGCTGTTTGGAAAGGTTATATAAATAGCTGACTTGTTCAGTTAAGTCACTGCAGTATTTTTTTTTCATCCCTAGATGAAACGGCAGCTCTCCAGGTAAAACTGGCCTCGTAGCCATCTTTCCTTATTGCCAAATACATCTGCCATTAACAGTTACTTCCATGACAGTTCTTATGATGGACAGAAAGTGGTTAGGAAATGAAGTCATTATCTTGCTTGCATCAGACTTGTTAAAATTGGACATCCATTGACAGAGGTTTTAGGGTAGCAAAGATTTTCTGTATTTTGCAGTCTGTTTGGGATTTAACATTAATATTGTAAGGTGTTCTGCAGAGGGGAGATATAAAACACAAGGTGAAATATCTGCTCTCTGATGTACTTCATCAGCGCTTCACCTGCTTCCCTCTTTTGGACTGTGTGCTGTTTTTAGATCATGTTCCTGCTTCCACTCTGGGATTTCACTTCCCGCCAATGCACACCCCAAGTAGCAAACCTCCTGTGGGGCCCATCTATTTGTTCCTGAATTTATGAGTTAAGGCAGCTTTATAGATTCCTTCCACAACAGTGGGTTAGAGTTTCCCAGTTCTCTTCCCAGATGCTGCTCCAGCATTATCTCTTGCACATGACTTTCTGTCTGTTTTTAGGACAACGCTGAGATTTTGAAAGCTGCTGGGTAGGATTCAACCTAGGCCAACAGCGTGGCAACAAGCTCTGCCAGTGATGTTTAACATGCTGTGTTAATCACCTGTTGTGTAGGGGGACCTGCCATTAATCCTGACTGAGCTCCAGTCTGGTACCAGGGTAGTGCTCCCTGATTCATGTCAGTTTATTAGACCAAATCCTTGGCAGGCCTTGATTATTTCTGAAATGTGCATCACCTTACCCTGTGGCTTCTGTTCCCATGAGATTTTCCTTTTGCTGCCCAAGTCATGCCCTCATGTCTTTCTCAGCTTTTTTACTTAAGCATCCATTACAGTGTCATCTAAGTGATGCTAATTTTACAAAAGAAGCATGAAATACTGAACTGTGCCTGGACAGATGCAGATGATCTCTTAACTGCAATTTAATCATAGAATAGTTTGGGTTGGAAAGGACCTTAAGATCATCCAGTTTCAACCCCCTGTCACGGGCAAGGTGCCATGGGCACACCTTACACAAGACCATGTCGTCCAAGGCTCTGTCCAACCTGGCCTGGAACACTGCCAGGTATGGAGCATTTACCTTTTCTTTGGGCAGCCTGTTCCAGTGCCTCACCACCCTCACAGCAAAGAACTTCTTACTCATATCTAACCTGAACTTCTGTAGATGCAAGTCATGTCCTTCCAACTTCAATGGTACCCAGAGACTTCCAGTGGGAAATTTGGACTTGAATTTATTGATCTTTGACATATCTGGTCATGGACCTCCCTGGAAATATCCACCTTGTAGCTATTCCTAGTTTTCTTGTGCTCTCAACCCCCATCCCGAGTTTGGTTTTGACTGACAGAGTAAGACAGTAAATTAATACTCTTCCACCAGAGCTGGAGCTTGGGTCTTTTCCATATTCCAAAGATGGAGCCTCTGCTAGAGGGCATTAGCCAAGTCTCCCCCATCTTTCTTTCACTCTTGAGTGTTCCCCAGTGTGGCCTTTTTTTCTGAGGTCTTACACCTATGACATCTCTCCTCGAGCATTATTTTCACAGAATTCTGCTCCTGCAGAAAGTTGGTACAACCACAGGTGTTTAGCAAGTCAAATGAATTCAGATTTCCTATAAGAGAAAGGAAATGAGGTTCATACGGGCCCATAAACGTTCTATTATGAAGCAATCTGTTAGCCAGCTGTCTGGTTGCAAACCACAGGTTATATTACCAGCATTGCTTCTTCCTGTCTCTCACCTCTTAAAAGCTGTCCCAGTGGCCCTCCTGTGTGACAGCTTGCTCACTCTGGTTGCTGGCCATGAAGGCCTACCTGAGCAATCTGCCCAAAGCTAGCCACCATGGTGGAGGATATTAATGTTCCCAGTTTCTCATTGCCTCCCAGCTGGGAGAACTTCACCCTTCCCTCAGTACTGTTCTTCATCCACCTCAGTGTAAACCAGCTGCCTTGAGTTCACCTGCCTGAGGTGAAGCTTCTGAAGGATGATAACTTAGCAAGCTAGCTCTTTCCATAGCCCTGATCTATGCCTAGTTCTGGGCATTGAACACCTTTCTTTGTATCTCACCACAGTTGGGAATTTGTCTGGAAAATGCCATGGGAAGCATCTGTATCACAATAATGCTTCAGAATCAGTGATTGTAAAGTCAAGGGAAAATGAAGAGGCATGTTGATGGTGTGCTGTATTCTCACCTCCTCTGCTCCTGTGCTGTTGCTGCTTTTGCAGAAAGAGCAAGGACGTTTTACTGGCGTTCTTGAGAACTGCAGGATCTGCCTTTATTTTCCCTGCAAGATGACGTTGACAAGGAGTGATGAATGGTTTTGCACCTCTCCTCTTTCCCCACTGCAGAACGGGCCAGGAGGAGGAAGCTTCGTGAAGAGCGGGCCTGGCTGCTGGCGCAAGGGAAGGAGCTCCCCCCTGAGCTTTCTCACTTGGATCCCAGTTCCCCTACCAGGGAAGAGCGAAGGACCAAGGATCTGTGAGTATACAGCTGGGCACTGCAGCATGTGAATATATTGAAGTAGTAAGTCTGTGAAGCAGAGGAGTCATTCACAGGAGTGAGGAGGAAGAAATGAGGTTGGAGATCAGCAAGGAGTACACTGAGAAACATCTGGGTTTGGTCCACGCTAGAGGAGTGTTTGTGATAAGGTCTATTTGTCAACTGGCATGCAACCCCGTGCACTGGCAGTGTGCACGGGGTGAAAATGAAGTACAAGAGCATGTCTCGTATTCACTTCAGTCTGCATATTCACTGTTGTTCTTCCCATTACAGCTTTGAACTTGATGATGAGTTCACAGCCATGTACAAAGGTTAGTCCTGCCCCAGCTTTCCCCTTTGCATGATTTGCTCAAACTGAAATGCTGCCCTGGGGGTGTGTGCATAATCTTTCACCTTTCTTTTGCCTACTGGCAGTTCTAGATGTGGTAAAGGCTCACAAGGACTCTTGGCCCTTCTTGGAACCTGTTGATGAATCGTATGCTCCCAACTACTACCAGATCATTAAGGTATGGAAGGTGGTCCAGCCATCTTGACTAATGCATTTTGTGACTGGGATGCTGCCTTTTCTAAGTGTTAAGAAGTTTTGTGGGCTATGTTACCCTCGGAAGTCAAACTACATGATGCCAGTAGTCCCTTCTAAACCTTACAAATCAAGGAAACCAAAGATGAGAGGCTACCTCTTTCAAGAGAGCAGACTCCACTCTCCTTTCCCCTTACATGAGGAAGCTAGCTATGCAACTTTGTAAGCCCCACTGCGCTTGCTGTAACTGAAGGGAGGTTTTGTTGCATTTCAGGCCCCCATGGACATCTCTAGCATGGAGAAGAAGTTGAATGGAGGTCAGTACTGTACCAAGGAAGAATTTGTGGGCGATATGAAGACCATGTTCAGGAACTGTCTTAAGTACAATGGTGAAGGCAGTGGTAAGAGCAGTAAGATGCTAAGTTTGTCTATTTGCAGTGCTCAGTTAAAGCAAGTAAGCAGTGATCTTTTCCTACTCACCAGCACTTGATTTGTGCTCATTCACTTTCAGGGTATTTTTGGAAGGCTGAACAAAAGAGGTGGAGCCCCTGAGTAAAAAGGCCTGGGGTTTTAGTGAGGTTTTTAGCACAATTTGGTCATGCCAAACTGGGTCATGGCACACTAAGGGGCTCCATATTGGTAGAGGGTGAAGACAGAATATACAAAGAGAAGATAGTCTGTTTCTTTCTGAGCTCATTCCTTCATGTGCCTGTGTGTATACATGTGCCTTTCTTTCTCATAATACCTAACACAGACTTTGAAAAGCATTGGAGTCTGGAGTGTGGCTAGCTCCCAGGTTTTGTTGAGTACCACAGAAAAGTGAGAAATGAACCACAGTTGTAGTCCTTGGGATGGAAAAATGTAGGTTTTGGATTCCTTTACTACTGAGTGAATAAAATGAGTCTGCAAATGGGAAGCCCTGGGTTTAACTGCTATGCCAATTAAAATTCTATGTGTCGCTTAGGTAAAAAGTCAGTTCCCATATGGTGGGTCATCACTGCAGACTGTGTCTCACTAGCACCGCCTTGAAAGGGAAAATACGTAGAGCTACCCAGCTTGTTGCTGTGGGCCCCAGGTAAAAGCATTCCTGCACTGCCACTGGGAGAGCTCTGTTTCCCGAGGAACTCCAGGGTTAGTTTGGTGGAAATAACTGGAAAGTCATTTGCTTCAAGCCCTTGTCATTAATACCTCTCGCATCTCTATTCCTTCCTATCCATTCCGATGAAAAGTAAGAGCCCCTCTGAGCAGAACTGTCCTGTGTAAATGATGCAACAGGGACACTGGTGTTGGCAACAGTTTTTGTGTCGGGGTCAGCAAGTGCTTTAGAAACTGTACATAGATAAATATATTTGCTCATTTTCCTCTGTCCTGTAGCATACATCAGAGATTTGAACAAGTCCAAGAAAAGCCTCTGAATGTAATCAAAGAGCATTGCTGGAAATTCACATTTCTTCTCTCAGCACTCTGTTGGCTAACTGTGCAGGTCACACATCTCTGCAAGCAGAGGTGGTGCTTCTCATAATGTAATTCTTGGCACTACGCTGGAACACTGAGTTAATGCTGACTCTGCAGGCTGTGCTGCTAATGGTACTTTGTCATGCCTGTGTGCCTGTCCTCTGGTGGGGTTACTGAACAAATCTGGTGCTGTGTTGCTTATAAAGTTTGAGAACATAAACCAAAGTTGACTAGCTAGAAACAAAAGTCTTCCTCGAATAAACTTGGTGGAGGGGAGGTGATTTATCTGATGGGGAAAGTCTGATGCTACTTAATTGCTTTTCTCTGTAAGCCTCTGTCCCTGATGTTGTTGGGGTTTTTTGACTGCAGAATATACCAAGATGGCTTACAACTTAGAGAGGTGTTTCCACCGAGCAATGATGAAGCACTTCCCTGGGGAAGATGGAGACACAGATGAGGAGTTTTGGATCAGAGAAGACGGGAGACGAGAGAAGAGGAGCAGGCGGACTGGCCGCTCCAGCACAGGCAATGTTTGGACTCGGTCTCGAGACCCAGATGGAGCAGGGAAAAGGCAGCAACGCCTGGAAAATGGAGGAAAACCTCCACCATATCGAGCTGCTTCCAGGGCTCCTGCTTCTTCCTCCTCTTCCTCTTCATCCTCCTTCTCCTCGTCCTCTGCAGACGATCAGAGTGGCAACCCAATGCAGCCTCCTCGAGAAGTAGGTCCTTCCAATGGGAGAGGTTTCCCTCGCTCTCTGCAGTATGGCGGCATGCCCAGCCCTGTACCACATCCCGGACAGATGGTAAGGAGCAGGCTCTGCTGTTCTTTACCCATCAAGCCTGCGGAGGGAGGGAAATAAAGGGGAATGGAACTCTTGACTGTGAAATCCCTCCTGTGTCACAATAACCTTTTCCCAGAGATTAAGGGTCAGGGCTATGGTTTCTAGCCCCTAGATTTAAACTGGTACAGCTTCAGTTTTTGCCACAGGAGCTGGGGACAATCTTATGATGCTTCTCAAAACCAGCAAGTCCCTATGTGGGCTTGCGCTGGCCCTGGCTCCCCCAGTTCTCTCCTTGGAGAGTTACCCCATTGTGCATGGAAAGCAGTTGTATTTCCTTTCTTAATCTCCAGTTTTATGATGCTCAACAAGCCAGTCTTCTTTTGTCTCAGTTGCTTACAGATGCCTGATAGCTTTGTGCCATCTGTGTGTATTTCGTGCCTTGAGTATTTATAAAAGCAGTAAATGAAACCAAACACAAGGCCACCCTGGACAGCAGCAGTGACCTCCTTTTAGCCCATTTCTTCTCTGAATGCCACCTGTTCTGCCTCCCCTTTGGGCTGTTCCTCGCCCATCTTTCACTGCCTTTTCCACTGCAACTAGCAATTTCCTGTGGGTGCGGTGTATCATCTGCTTCTCTGAGATCCAGGCTACCCTTCATCCTTTTAGAGCAATTCTTATGATGCAGATAGTGGGAGGCAGTAGGAGAGCTGGAGGCAACAAGCATTGTGAAGGAAATCCAGCACGTTCATTTACCCCATTGACCTGCTTGCTTACTCTTGCATGGTCCTCAGAGTGAACCACTGCCCCCTCCAGTCTTCTTGCTTGCCCCTAAGTAGTTGGGTGACAAGTGTGTGTACTGCAACCTTGAGCTCAGGGATATATGGATGGGGAGTGAGAGAGTGACTTTGGCAGGAGGGCTGTGTGTCACCTTGTAGAAAAGAGACCACAGGTTTTTCATGTATACCTCCAAAAAGCTCATCTGCTCCTGTGGTTACTCCAGCCTTGGCTTCCCCCCGCCTGCAGCAGCTCTGCAGTTTTTCTGTGGTCCACAAACCGTTTCATTGCTCCCTCCTGCACCTCTCCCTGTCCCCCAGAGACCAGCTGTGCCAGGAACGTTTGGTCCCCTGCATGGATCAGATCCCACCAAACTGTACGGCTCACCGCGAGTGCCTGAGCCCCATCCTGGAGACCCGGTCCAGCAGCACCAGCACTTCTCCATGCAGGTAAGAACCACTACAGCCAAGGGATCCAGTACCCAGGCCCTGCCGGATGGCTCTCACTGAGAACCCCCCATCTCTTTCTCCCTCCTCCCCAGCCGGCCGTGGGACTGAGCGAGCACCGCGGGCACAGGCTGGCAGCCCCAGAGAAGCAGGCATGCGCAGGACCGACCCACGTCTCTGGCCTCAGCCCCCGGCCAGGCGCCCTGCAGCTGGGGCGCATGAGCGGCCCCCCGCCAGACGCTGTGTACCCACCAGCCCAGTTCCAGCAGGGCTTCCTTCCCCCGAGGCACAACGGGCCCCCCATGAGGCCGCCGGAGGGCTCGGAGGTCCCCCCAGGGCACATGTACCGGCCCTACAAGTACCTGAACCGCGCACACCCAGCCCTATGGAACGGCAGCCACGGCCCCACCGCCCAGGGCACTGTGGGGCCAGAGGAGAAGGCGCCCATGGGGCCGGGGCCCTCTCTCCAGCCCCGCACCCTGGGTCATATGATGGACCCGCGGTCCATGAGGCCACCACTGCCTCCCAGCCAGTGGACTGAGCAGTCCAATTTCCTACCTCACGGGGTGCCTCCCTCAGGATATATCAGACCGCCCGGGAAAGCCACGGGGCAGAGGATGCCACAGCCACCAGCTGCTCTGTTTGGGGGACCGCCCCAGGTTCAGAGGGGGAGCCAGGGCGGGGAGTCCATGATGGACAGCCCGGAGATGATCGCCATGCAGCAGCTGTCCTCCCGCGTGTGCCCGCCGGGTGTGCCTTACCACCCTCGCCAGCCGCCGCCGCCGCACCTCCCCGGGCCCTTCCCGCAGCTGGCTCACGCTGCCTCCGCCGCCGGCGTGCAGCCCCCAAAGCCTGCCGTGGGCAATGGGGGCTCACAGGATCCCACCGCACAGAGCATGGAGATGGACAGCAACCAAGGTAACCTCTCCAGTGACCTTCCCGCCTGTATCTGTTGCCCCGCTCACTGACACGCATCCCTCCCACCTGCTGGACAGTGCAACCATTTCCCATTCCGTGCTGGTGTGCAGTTGTGGGGAGCAGGCAGGAGCACCCTCAGACTGGATTTGTTGCTCTTGGGCTCCAAATTTCTAGGGACCCAAACCTTGACTGTCATACAGATGTGCTGTGCTGCAAATGTGGCTTTATTTGGACTTGTGCTCCTAGAGAAGTGGAGAATATGCCCTGATCTTCAGGCTTGCCAGAGTCAATTTTAAGCAGTGGCTGAAGCTCAGCAACAAAAGCAGGGTTTTCTTTTCTAGAAAATAATTAAAATCTTGATTAAATAAAATCCCAGAATCACAGACTGTTTTGGGTTGGAAGGAACCTTAAAGATCACCCAGTTCCAACGCCCCTGCCGTGCGCAGGGACACCTTCCGCTAGACCAGGTTGTTCAAAGCCCTGTCCAACCTGGCCTTGAGCATCACTAGGGATGGAGCATTCAGTTTTTACATGTGTGTATTTCTTTAATCTGAATTGGAATATATTTCCTACTCCAGCCATCACTTAGACTTTCTAAGATTGTTTTGTTTCACTGTAGCTTGCCAGGGGTCCCCTCTGTCCCAGCTGTACCTGCAAGCTATCAGTTTGCCTTGGGGTGCAAATGCAAAGCATAGGCTGTGGTGCTTCTAGAGCTCACTTGGAATTAATATAAAAATGGGATCTACAGAGAGTTAGGTAAGAAAAAGAAGACATTATGTGAATAAATGGTTTAAATATACTTCTTTGAGTATGGCTTCTCCACAGCAGCTGTGTCGATTCAGGTGGGACGGCAGTGTGTCACGTGCACCATCACAAGTTTCTCTCTAGTTGAATTTCATTCTAGCTGGTAAACTAGACATCAAAAAAAGCCCAACTTAAAAATAAACCAAACCTAAAGCAGAGATCAAAAAACCCCAGAGATCAAAAAAAAATTTTCTTTTCATTAATTCTAGCTGGTAAACTAGAGATCAAAACCCTTGCATCTTTTATGGATCCCTCGTGTGCCTTGCGCTAGGAGCAAACTCTTTCCTTGTGTGGCATTGCTTAAAAGTCATCATCATTTAACTGTGCTGGATATAGAACAGAGACTGGGGGAGGATGTTGAGTGATTGCAGGGCAGAGCAGTCGCATCTCCAAATCACAGTTGGTTAAAATATGGCTGCAATAGGCTTTGCAGCATCTTGGTTGTGGTAGTGCTTCTGCCACGCTGTGGGCAAGTGGGGTTTGTGGACCAGAAGGGGCAACACAGCCTGAAATCAAGCTGCTGTTACTCCAGATTCTTATCTTGCTGTTATGTGGACCCCACAGTGTTATTTCCCAATTCTGCCTCTCTGTTAGGCAGCCTCTGCCCGCCCCTGTGTCAGACTAAATCCACGTGTGCAGTGTTACTCCAATGGATGCGTGACTTACTTGCAAACTACGGCGTGCCTGTATCTTGAGAGTTCAGTCCACATGTGCTATCTTCTTCCAAGAGAGGTGCAGCCTCACAAGTAGTTTTTAAAAGAGTTCTTTGAAATGGAACAGCTGCTAAAGGTCACCTACCTCTGCGAAAATGCACTTCAGAATTGCTAAAGGTCTCTGAAGGGAAGATTGTGGTGGGTGTGGGAGGGAGGCCCTGCAGAAGAGCAGCTGTCCTGATGCCATGCTCCAGCAGTCCTGTAGAGAGGCAGAGTAGAAGGTGGAACTTTATAGGCTTTTGAGTGCGTACAGCATAAGGACCTTCATGGCTTTAGAAGGTCGCCCATTTTTCTCATGCATTTGCAACAGAGTGTTAGGGACACCTTGGACAGAGCTGCCCAGCAGCTTGGGTTAGCAACAGCAGAGGATGCTGAGAGGCTATTTTAGTACACCTGGTTAAGCTGGCATGAATTAATCTTTGGCACGTGTGCTTTGGTGGAGTGTGAGTAGGTGTGTGCATGTGCTGGGCTGGGAGGGCCATTTTCTGAAGTTAGACCAATGTGTGACTTTTTCTTCCTCACTTCCAGTAGAGCCACCAGCAGGCATGGACGAGAAGGCTCAGTGCATTGGCATTCCCGACGGAGCCTACGCCAAAATCCTACCTCATCCCAAGCCCCCACTGCCCATGGAGTGCACCAGGCACGCCTTGCCCCCAGATGGGGAGGGAGATGGTTCCAGTGTGAAGGGCGACCTGAAGGCAGGACAGGGCAAAGGCTCGTGGCCGGCGGAGAGCAGCTATGCCAGTGGCCCAGGCTGTGTGAGGGACCTGGTGCACACCTCTGAGAGAGGCGGTCCCCTGCCTGAGAATGGGGCAGCGGGCGAGGGGCCAGCATCTGATGCCGAGGGGAAGGGGCTCGCTGCCAACCTGCTGGAGAAGCCCCTCTGTGGTGGGGGGAAGGCTCTGCCTGAAGCAGCTGTACCTTGCATGGGACAGGGCACTGGCCTCCCTGGCATGGATGCCAGCTCCATGGGAGCTTCCCCCAACCAGTTCCACCCTCTCTACATGCCTGGTCTGGAATACCCAAATTCAGCTGGGCGTTACCACATCAACCCAGGCTTGCAGGGGTTCGGTCCCATGATGGGGGGAAAGCCTCCTCCTCCTGCCTCCCACCCTCAGCATTTTCCTCCACGGGGTTTCCAGCCAAGCAGTGCCCACCCTGGCATCTTCCCCCGGTATCGGCCCCCCCAGGGCATGCCCTACCCCTACCAGCCACAGCCTCAACCTTCCTACCACCACTACCAGCGACCGCCCTACTATGCCTGTCCGCAGGGCTACTCGGACTGGCAGAGGCCTCTCCATCCCCAGGCCAGCCCCAGCGGGCATCCCACTGCCCATCCATCCCTGGCCAGACCCCTTTTCCCGGACCGGGGGTCCACCAGTGGCTTGCAGGGCTGCGAGGCGCTGAGCGCTGCCCTGGCCTCTCCCAACCGCATGGACATAGCGAGTGCCAAAGAGGTTTCTCCAAGCGATGGGCAGGATCTGGGGCCTGAAGATGAGAAGTCCGAGGAGTCCCAGGAAAGACCAGAGAGTCCCAAAGAGTTTCTTGATTTGGACAACCACAATGCAGCCACAAAGAGGCAGAGCTCGGTGGCAGCAGGGGAGTTCCTCTACGGAGCCCCACCACCACACCTGGGCTCGGGGATGGGATTCGGCCCATCAGCTTTCCCTCCCCATGGGGTCATGCTACAGACTGGCTCTCCTTATGCATCCCGGCATCCCGCCAGTCATTTCCAGCCCAGGACATATGGATCGCCCATGAATGCTCACCTATCTCATCATCCGGTCTCTAGCCAGACTAACGGCCTCTCTCAGGAGGGACCCCTGTACCGCTGCCGAGAGGAGAACGTAGGTCACTTTCAGGCCTTGCTGATGGAGCAGAGAGGCAGTGGAAGTGGCATGGGGGGGCCACCCCAGGACTTGTATAGACCCTCGGGGTAAGATCGTGTTTTCTGCGAGAAGGCAAGGCGGGAGGGGGGTGAAGCCCTGTGATGATAAGTGTTGGATATCCTTGAAAGGATAATGCTTGAAGTCAGGGGAGATGGCAAGCAAAGTTGAAAGGCTGACTGGTGACTGTTAGACCTTTGGAGTGCGAGGTCTCTTAAGCTGGAGAGAGTCTCGTACAACTCCTTAAAAACAAGTGGCAATTGCTAACACGGAGACCAGTTAACCTGTCCCATCCATCCCCACACCAGTGCTTTGTTTTATCTGTCAGTGTTTGTTAATGCATTATTCAGGGTTGTGCATCTCCTAATCAAATGGACTCTTGCCTTTATCTTTGCAAGTATTTTATCACATCTTTCTCATAGTGGGGCAGAGTAGCTAACTAAAGTAGAAGTTAGCCTCTTGTTATGAATCCCTTTACTTAAGTAATGTTGCTCCCTTTTTCTCCCCTCCTCTTGCTTTGTCCTTCCTCTCTGTCTCAAATTTCCCTGACAGATAATTACTTCTCACTGAGACTGTGCGTATCACGTTTTATTCCTACGTGGAAAGCTATGCTACTCCAAAAATTCCCTGTTCGGATTTTATAAATATGATTCCACTGTTAAAGCTTTGTCAAAGTCCCGGCATGACAGTCCTCCATCTAGTATTCAGGGAGCTTGGCTTGCAACTAAGCCACTGGGAGGGTGGCATAGATTAAAGGTTGTGTTTTGGGGGAAGCCAGAAAGAAGTTTACACAAGGTGCATGCTTGTATGTGAATGTTTTATGTATGCTTTCAATGAAGTAATGGGATTTGCTCTTGAGTTCATGTGCTAAAACTCTCTCTATTCAACCTGGCTCCAGAATGCAAATGCATCAGGCTCAAGTTCCCTTCCCAAAGATGCCTACAGCAACCATGTCCCGGGAAGATTTGACGTCACAAAAACCATCAGCATTGCCTCTGGATCAAGTAAGGGCTGCTAGAGAGAGTAGAGTTCACATACAAGTCTTTCCCTTCCCACTGGTTAAAAGAGAAGTATTTGATGAAGTGGGAAGCGCTGGGGGAAGCTGGGAAGTGAACTAGTGCTATGTAGAGGAGTTGGGGATGTCTCTATGGTCTCAGCTGGTTGTAAAATGTAATCTAGGTGTTCCGATAGTGCTAGCTTTGAACTGGTTGCATGCAGTCATGAGGTTATTCCTTTCTAAAGCTGCCAGTTAAAGCCTCCAACTCTTGTTCTTCCTCTTCCAGAGCTAGTCCGAGGAAGGAAGGACCTCATGAAGACGAAAGCCACGCACGATTTGGACAAGGGGGAGGAGGGGCAGGCCTTCCTCCCACCTCCCCTGACCCGAGCAGCATGTAGCTTCCTGGATGCATGGAACACAGTGCTGCGATGGCTTTTGTGTTGGGAACCTGGAGCGGTGCTGGGCCCCAGCCAGCCGAGCAGCTGGCTCGCCACCACAGGGCGAGCATCACACTCTGGTGGCTTTCCGTGACCAGAGACTGCGTCTCATTCAGGGTTTGAGGGATTTTTGGGGTGGGGGGAGGGTGGGGGTGGGGGCAGAAATGTTCATTGACTGCTAAACTCAGGTATATTTTTCAGGGTGGAAGAGGACGATGATGGAATTTTACTTGTAGTATTAACATGTGTGTTTTGGAGCTGGATCCAGTTTACAGAATTTAACCTGTTGCCTTTTTAAATAAATTTCTGTTGTTGGTGAATGTATTGTACATAATGGGGGAGGGGGTGGGCCCAGCTTGTAGTGGGCTTAGCACTGGAGGAATCCTTAACTGTTTACAATCATATCACACTGAAATCTTTCAGGATACAGTGAGGGTCTGGGGGGAGAGGGGAGGGAATGAATGATGGATGACTTGCTGTCCTCCTTCCTGTCCTCTGCAACCAAGATATGACCCAATGGTTGGTTGACTTAGTAGCAGGAATTGCTCAGGAGCATAATGTGTCCTCCTCTTTCTCTTGTCTTCTTCCTCCTTCTCTTCTCACCCCCACCTCTGCCCCTCTGGATCCAGGGCCTGAGTGCACTTCCAGCTCCTGTCAGCATGGGGGAACAAGGAAACCAGGACCAGGAATTGAAACCAGAATGGGACACTCAGGGCATCGTCCCTTCTGCTAGTATAGTACCCTTTCTGCCTTTCTGATAGGAGAAATGTGTGCTCTGGAAAACAAAAAATGGCATAACTGGTCATCTTAGCCTATTTTTGGTGAAACCAATGCAGCTGCTGGTGGAGTGGCACCTGTCCAGTAGAACAAACTGTGCAAATCTGTAGTGCCCTGCTGCCTAAGGGCAGGAGCCAAGTTCTTTCTCTGACCCTTGGCTATATTCACTTCTTAGCAGCTGCAAAGCAGGCAGTACCCCAGTGTTCCTGACCACTCTCAGTTCCTGTGGAGGAAGAGCATGAGGCTGCTTTAGTGGAATGGAATTGTTGGTTTAATGCAATGTGAGCCATTTGTTGGCCTGTGGAGTTGGATTTGGCATTTGCAAGTTGCAGGTGAATCAGAAAACACTGATTCCAAATCAGATGTTGAGGTTGCATGTCTCAGAGGTTGAGGGATGAGAGGGCAGTATGCTAGAGTTGAGTTGGTTTAACTTTGTCATCACTGATAGGTAGCAGCAGGTCCTACAGGGCTAGTGGCAGCTTCACTTGGCTGCATGCATTCTATAGGGGCTTTCCTCTTGTACCGGTTGCAGTACTTTGTCAGCCACTGGTGTTCAAAGGCAGGTTTAGCAAATAAATTCAGTAGGAATCTCATCTGCATTTATTCACACCTTAAAGCTAACAGGCAAACAGATTTGATAACTCTTGGGGGAGCTGGGGTAAAACAGGGGAGTCTCTACATCACAAGGCAGGGCAGCAAGATCTGCTGGGACCATAGCCCTAGTGGGCAGGCTGCTGGTTGCACTGAGGGGTACAGGGGTATGGTTAAAGGGAGGATGTACTGATGTGTTGGACAAATCATGCTAGCAAGAGCACTAGAAGTGAGGACAGAGCAGTGTGCCCTTTAGTCTGTGCTACCAGCTAGGAGAGGGTCTTTGGAAGTTTCTGGAGAATTTTTCTGGCTGCTTTGTTGTCTTGGATGGTGCTATCACCTCTATCTTCAGCTGGATTGCACTAGCATGCATGACTGTACTGCCTTTGTCCTGCTGTATAGATCTACCATGTGCTGGCAAAGCTGCTTGAGCAAACATCAGGTAGCATCTAACTGAGCCATTATCCTTCTGTCCTAAGCTCTTATAAGCACAAAAATCCTAAAAGATGAGAATATTTCTCTCTTAAAATAATTAGAACAGGGAAGGGCCACCACATTTATGCCCTCTTACCAATAACTTCCACTGCTCTGTTGCTACAGTACTTTTGCCTCTGAGGTGTGCAGGGCCAAGGCATTTTCCAAGCCTAACAGGAGTTAAACTTCTTCATGCTATTCCCTCAAGTGTGATTATAAATGCAGTTTTTGTTACTCACTGCTGCTGCTAGCCTGTGAACTATAGCTGCTGTCTGCTTAGAACCTCGAGTTGCCTGGGACAGCTGGTCCCTCAACAAAGGAAGACTTCAATATAATGTGAATCACTTACAATGCCTATCTATAGATGCCATTACAAAAGGGAGATTTTTTGGGGGGTGGATTTCTTTTTTCCTTTTCATTTGTGCTGATCTGTCAAGAAGCAATTGTCACTGGTGGATTGGTGTAAACTGGAATAGATGATCCTGAAGGTTGTCTATTGACTGAGAACCAGGTAGCTGCTCTCCCTAGCCAAGAACATTGTGCTATGGCTCATCTGAAATAGTCCTAGATCTGAGGGTCTGCTGCTGGCTCATCAGCTGGCAGTGGGTTTTCAGAGGTGCCCAAGCTGCTCTGAAATGCAGGCCTAGATCTCCTACTGAAGGGAGATACTGAAGCAGTTGCAGGTATATATGAAAAACACCAAGTGTAGCAGCTCTTCAAGACAATAAACCTGAGACAAAGGAAAACACAGTTGCTTCTCCTTGTAAAGCAATCTTTAGTTCATTGTAGGTAGAAAAAGGATTGGAAATAGCACACTTAAAAATAGAGGAACTGTAAAATGTAACTTGTAGCAAAGTATTTGAAATTCTGGAAATGTGAATGTAGGTTCTTCCATCCACCCCTGCTGTACTTCAGCCTGTGTCTTCTGTCTCATTACCCAAATATTTGAAGTGCCTTTCATTCAGCTTGTTGTGAACTTTGTGAAACAGGAGGTTTTTAGAAGCTACAAAAAAAAACAACTAAGCAAGCTGAAGCACTCTTGGCCTTCAGCTGGAACTGGCACTGAAATCATGGTTCCTAGTGGTCATGGTATCTGGATGAGTACCAAGCCCAGATCAAAACAGGGAACAAATAAGAACAAGAATTACTTGTGGTCTGCTTGGAGAGCATAGTGGAGTGTTGGACAGTGACAGATACCCTGAGGATCTTATGTGGAGTGTGTGACATGAAGATATTACCCCTTACCTGATATAATGCAAATCTGGGAGAAGGGTTTAACTTGTGGATGGTAGACAAAACGGATTAGTGACTGACTCCTTTTGGGAGGGTTTCTAGGTAAATGGCTTTTGATGTAGTCAGTAATTCTTATTAAAGTGACTAACAAGCTGCTGTTGTAAGGACACATGGTTTATATTAGAAAAGTACTAATATAGCCTAGGGGAACTATGGCTGGGCTACAGGGATAAGGGCTATCCTGGGGACAGGACACAGTAAGGTAGAGAGCTGCCTGTGGAATCTTAGCTCAGAGTTTCCAGACTTACAAATGCTTTGTTCATAAGTGTTTGGGATTTGTTTTCTTCTTTTATGGTGATATTTAGGGATCCCCCTAAAATCAGAGCTCTATCTCACTAGGTACATACAATCTGAGCAAATCAGAGAAAATTGGCCCCTCCTCAGAGGGCACAGAGCAGATTGCCGGTGTGGAAACACGTGTGGAGCAGCAGAAAACATCAGTTTTATAGTTTATGGTTTCCCATCCCATGCTGCACAGGCCTGCTTTGTGGATATTGTGAAAGACACTGGTTTAAAGAGGGATCTATAAAAGAGCAAAATGGCAGTTCTTTATATGCTTATGCCAAGGGTTGGCATGCAGCGCAGGAGAAATGTATCTGCATTTTAAAACATCCTAGGTTTTGAATGCCATACTAGTGTCCCTATCTTACATAATATTTTAACACAATTAGGAACTTCCAGACTCTGGTTGGAAGCCCTCTTTCTCATCCCCCAGCATTGCTGTAGTATGATATATACCAGTCGATCCTTTTTCAGAAGGCATCCTGAGCTAGCAACTTTGCAGAGTTTCCTGTAGCTATTACTTTTCCCATACAGAGGATGTGTTTTTCTATAATTACAGATTTCATCTTAAACTTAAGACTATACCGTGCATAGAACAATGATGCTGACCATGCTTGAGCATGACAAAGATTTCCAGTATTCTCAAAAAAAGCTTTGTATGCTACTCTGGATTTTTAGCCTCTTGTTCTCCCCACCACCTCCTCCTTCACAAGTGGTGTGTGGTGTTCCCAAGCTCCTGAGATGCTCAATTGCCACTTGTAAATGTCACTGTATAAACTCCCTCTGGGACTCTGGAAGCTTTGGGCATCTGAAGGACTGCAGGCCCTGGCAATTCAACTAAGCCTTTTAAGAAGGCCAGTCACTTGAGGCTTTGCAGTGATTTTTAGCTGTGTCTAGCACAAGTTTGCAGTCTATAAATTCCATGGTGTGACCCACCAAACCTCTTGGTAGCAATCCAAGGCACCAGCCTGCAATGAGGAGGACAAAAGAGGAAAGTAAATTTGAAGCTTCAAGGCCCAACTGGTTTGATTTGCGACTTTAAAGTACATGGAGACACTTTTCTTGGAAGAGCTTCTGATTCTTTCTCATCCGCCAAATGCCTTTCCCATGCAGACTTTCTGAAACTAATCTCCTGTGTATATTTTTGTAAGTGTGGTTTCTCGGGGTCTTGGAGAGCTATCAGCTTCTTGATGTCTTATCTGAAAGCTAGTCACAGAGGCTGTCTTTCATTCTGCTGACTGAGGCAGTTCTCCTGCAGCTTCTCACCCCAACGCTTCTCCGTTTAAAATGGAAGTATAATGAGAAAACAACCTTCCTTTATTCCCTCTACTGATCTCTGACAGTCTTCTGTGCATCTCTGTGTTCAGCCAGGGCGGTTGCTTTGCTCTTGATGGCTTTGTTCTGTTTTCCCTTTCCAAGGAGACGGTGCTGCAATATGCATTGTGGAATTTCTCAGAAGGTGCCAAACTGATTGACAGGGAAGTACCATCCCAAGGGGTGGCTCGGAGAAGACAAGCAGGGGGATTTGTGATGGCATGGTTGCTCCCAGTTCCATGCAACCATGCAACTACATCTGTGCTTAATCAGGGCAACCCCTCAAAAAGTTGTCACTGCAGTTCATTGGTGGTAAAGGAGTTTGCTCTTGCAGAATTCCTGCTGTAAATCCATGCTGGTGGTTGAAGGGCAGGTGTGTGAGTGCCGTATCCTTTCTGTAAGGCTGAGATGGAGACAGCAGGCTGGAAAAGTAGTGCAGCTGCAGGCCATGTGACAAGCATCAAGGGCGGGTGCTCATTGTAACTGAGAAAGCATCTCAAACATTGACCTTCCAGCCTTTCCCCATCTGTACCTGTTTAACATACAGATGGGGGTAAAGGACATTTGGGCTTGGCAGGACCCCTGCCGCCCATGCGGAAGTAAAAAGCTTTTAGCCAGCACATAATGAACTACGCATCCTGGTTTTCACTCCCTGCTGCCCACCTCCCTCTGAAAAAGATCTGGGGAGGGACCGATTTCCAGCTGTCTCCAAAGAGGAACTGCTGGGATGACAAGAGCAAGGCTTGCTCCACCCCTAGGAGATTCAGGACAAGGTTTCGTGTGTTTGAAACTAGATAGCAACGTACAAGTGTACCTTCGAAGTGCAGGTGTAGTGAGCTGCATGGTGCTGTTCTGGTTTTGGTTACTGTCCTATCCTAGCTCACATGCAGTGTGTGAGAGACCATGAAGCGTTTTGTAGTTTTAACACTGATGGCCTGGCATCAGTTGAGGGTTTTTTTCCCTTTATTTGCAGCAGTGCCCTAAATTTGTTTCGGCAACAGTCTTCCTGTGTTTGAAATGTGGATGTCAAAGTGGACAGTGTGTCCAGGAGAGAGCAAGAGTTACATCCACCAGTGGAAGAGGGGAGGAAGGATTCATTAGGGTTAGGGATTAATTGGGATTTCACCAACTCTAGTGAGTCCCTCTGTCCTTTGCCCGTTCCATTTGGAAACACTTGGCTCGCTAGCAGAAGGGCAGTAAGTGGTATATCTTCTAAATAAAACTAGAACTGACTCCCTGTGGGCAAAATTCCCTTGCTGTGGATAAAGGTAGACCAAACACCCAATAGGGACTCATTTGGCCTTCAAGTCGGTAAGAGGAAAGCAGACGCCTATTGCACTCAAACACTGTGGAGTACATCAGAGGAGCAACCTCCCTTTCTGAAGCCAACCAGGCAGCTACAAGAGCTCAGTGCTCAACTCTTAGTCTGGAAAATCCTCTGATCCCCTTTTGTGTCACACGCCAGCACTTCCTCTCTCCTCCCTTTCCTAGCTTTCAAGTTTCTTTCTCTCTGCCCACTTTGCTACAGTTGGTTACTGTCAGAGATGAAAGCTCACTGCCCATGCGAGTAGAAGGGCAGGAGGTTGAACTTGGCAGCTGTCTCCATAAGGCAGGCAGGTGGGGAGTACGCATTTACTCTCCTCATGGAATTAAGGTGTCCCTAGTGGCTCACTGTTGTTCTCTCGCATGCCCCTGCGGTTTGCCATCCTGGCGTGGTGGTGCCTGTCCTTCTGCCAGCATGAGGGTTTGCTTCTGCCCTCTGTGCAGGGCTCCTGCGTGTGATCCTGGTCTGTCTACCTCTAGTGGGGCTTAGGTTTAAAACACATACTGTGTACAACCATGAAAGCTGTTGCCTCTCCTCCTGGGTAGATCAACGAACACAGCTGCATGATGTTTTTCTGAGCAGTAATAATGTGCAGCAGTGTAACTTGACTTTCCAATATTGTTTCAGGGAGCAAACGGCTGTGAAACACACTGGGGGGCTTTACTCTTTGAGTGGGAAACAAGGTGCTCTTGGTGGCCCTGCATCTTATCTACGCCACATTCCTGCTTTCCCAGCAGCTGTTGGGTTTATTTAGGTGGCCGGGAGAGAGCTGGTTGCTGCTCCTGTGTTTGGGAAGGTAGAAAGGGAAATCGAAAGTTGAAGTTCATCCTCATCCACAAAGCCAAGCACATGGAAGAAGGGTGTCTGCTGCTGCCACAGAGTGAAGGGTGGGTAGACTGCTGACTTAATGCCTCTGGGGGAGGAGAGTGACCCGTTGCTGCTTCATTTGGCACTGATGGGGCAGGTAGCAGGAGAGCCTATGCCACTACGTTCATTTTTATTGAAGTTGGGTGATGTTGGGGTTTTTTTGTATTATTGTAAGTTTGTAAAGAATGTAATCTGTCTGTTGGGGGCACAAGGAGAAAACGGGGGCCTTTCTCTTGTCGGGTGAGGCTGTTCTTATGTTGCTGTGTTTTTTGGTTTGGGGCGGGGAGGGGGTTCGCAGCTATTCGGGCAAAAGCCTGCAAAAGCATTGTCAAATGCTTGCCACTGTCCCAGGACAGCCAGAGGGTGAGCTAATGCTGTGGCATTAGCTGTGAAAATGCCCCCTGCCTGCAACCCTCAGTGGGGGGAATCTGACCTGCAAGGGGCTCTGCACTGGGGTGTTTGGCGGGGTGGTGGGATGTAACACTCATGGTCCTGCTCATCTGAATACAGAGCTGTATGGCTGCCCATGCTGTTTAGGAAGGGTTGGGTTTGATAGCCTGAGTTTCTCAGTGCAAGAAGGAGTTTGTGCTGGAGTTGCTTTCCCCAGCAGGGGCTGAGGTGCTGCACCTCTCCATCCATCACCTGCTGCCCGGCAGCCCTGCCCCTGCCTCCCTCCCCATCCCGTAGAGCACAGTGTCAGGGATCCTCTTCTCTCTCCTGCTGCTGCAAAGTTGTGTGAACTTTCCTGGTCGATACTGGAAAGGGGAATGCTATTTATTTTTATATTGTGTATATTTTGTCTTGGTCTGCTGATTACCTTTGTTCCCCAAGAGCGACAGTTACCTCAATAGTTAGTTTAATACTGTGTGTTGGGTAATTTTTTTAAAGAACTTTTTTAAAAGCTTGATCCTTGGAGGTCTGTAGATTTTATTTCCATATGAATTGGTTATTTTGTATAAAGTAAGTTCTTAAAATAGCAATCACCCTCGCTGTATGTGTGTTTTCTTGTCTCCTGCATGGTCTCCCTCTGCCCTTGTAAGGGGGGGGGGTGTGGTTGGGGGGAACACAGCTTTCTTCAGAGAGACAGAGCCCTGGACTGCAGTCAGACATGGTTGTACCACCTGAAATCTATTTACAAAAGAGCACCTGGAAAGCTAATTGGGATCATTTCCCTTTCTGAAGCACAGCTGTCTGCCTATGAACAACCCCACTGTGGAAATGAGATGGTGTCACTGCTTTCCCCGCCCCGAGCCCCTGGTGTGCTTGGAAAGCCTGCTTCCTCCCCCAAAACACCACACAGTCTAGGGGCACAGGTAGCCTGTTCCCCCAAAACCTCTCTGCTTTAAAAAGGGTGATTGCCCTTAAACCCCACAGAGTGATGTTGCTATGAAGGAGCCACTGATGTAGCCTATGCAGTTCCCCTTTGTGCTTTTTTAATGCTAAGCAGCATAGAGTGTGATGCCCCTCAGGGGCTGTTAGAGGAATGAGAAGCCTTTCCAGCTCATGTGAGGTGGTCCTAATCCGTATTAGATGTCAAAGCAGCACTTGCTGTTCACTGTTTATTAAATCTCCCATGTGAGATGGGGAGTGGCTGCAGCCCTGGCAGCACAGAGGTGTTTAAAGACAACAGAGCTCTTCCTTGTGGGGGTTTTGGCATCAGATCTGGGAAATGGCCCTACCGTGTTGTGTGGGAAGGTGCCTGCTGTAGGTGTATGGAGGCAGCTTGCGCTTGGCCCTTGCTCAGCTGGTCCCCAAGTAAACAACTTGCTCGGTTCCACTGACTCAGCAGCTTTGCATCAGGACAAAATCAAGGTGATTTCCCTTGAATGCTGGTGCCAGCAAAGGAGGGCACATAGGATGACTGGCAGAAGGCTGGAGGCATGATAGCTCCCACGTGCATGCTGTGGGCCCTTTCCCTTTTCTGCCCAGCTTTAGCTGGTAAAAGCTCCCTCTGCCTCCTCCAGGACCGGTAACAGATGCTCTTGCTCACATCTCCTCCTGCCAAAACAGCTTTGCAGCATAGCCTGCTTGTGCCTCAAGCTCCATCTGCCCCTCCTGCCGGAGCCATGCCTGAGGCTGGGGCTGTTCCTGAGCCCAGTGTGCTCCGCTGGCTCTCAGCACCAAAGCTGCCTTTGCAAATAGATGCTTATGAAACATTTGTCTGTGACGCAGGACCCCACGCTTACTGGCCAAACCAGAGGCCTCATCCTGTCCTCATAGCTCTTCCCCTCTGTGTGCCCTAAGCAGCAAGTTGATCCCTCACACCACCAGCATTTTACAAAGACTGGTCATTGAACCCTGGTGAATCAATTGTTCAATAGCTCACTGAATCCTCAGCAGTGCATCCCTGCTCCTGGGGCCATTCAGACACTCACTTCACTCTCCATGGCTTGGTCCAAGAATAACTTATCCTTCCACTGCATATTTCATACTGAAAGAAGCCCTCAGGAGCATTTGTTGGCACCTTCCTGCCCCTGGACTTTTGGAGGAGTCTGAGATGTGACCTGCTGTACCCAGACACCTTGAGCACCCCAAAATGGCCAGTGGGGTGTCAGAGGCAGGTGAAGCTGAGCATCCTAGTGGGTGCTTCTCCAGGCCCTGCGGAGGCTGTTTGAGGATGCTGGCTCCTCCGAGGTAAGCTGCTCCCAGGCGGGTGAAGGGCTGCTCTCTGTCATGTATCCTCCTTCCTCCTCTCCCCCTCCGGGGGCCAGGGTTCAGGGTGACAAGAGCAAGCTGTCCGATTGAGGAAGGGGAGGAATTCGGACGCCCCATCAGTCCCAGGAAGTGTTTGGGTCAGAGGGGATAGGCAGGGGGAGATTTCTAATCCTGGGGCTAAGCCTGCACTGAGTGGAGCCAGCGCTAATTGGAACCAGTCCCAGGGAAGGGGCAGAAAGCTGCTGCTTTTAGAGGTGCCTTGCAGCCCAGGCAAAGACAAAGCTTATCTGTGCTGTAGGAAGTGCCACATCCTAACCTTGACAAGATGCTATCAATCGGCAGTATCAAGTTAGGCCACTTGCCCACCTATTTGTTTACCTTTCTTCCTACTTTCTGCTGTCCATGATTCTTGTTTTTTCTCCTACTTCCTCCTATGGGCTGGCAAAGCTTAATCCCCTTTGCTAAGAAAGAGCTTTCCTGAGCTCTTAGACTGTGGATTTAAGCTCTTGGCTTCCTCTCTAGCCTCCTTCTCCCTAAGAACTGCGATGCTTCCCACATCCAGCTTTTTATCCAGCTGTCTCAGAGCAGCTCACTAATCCGTGTAGGCTTGAATTGTGGATGGGTGGATAAATCAATTTCAATAGGGACCAGTTTAGTGCCCAGTTTGGGTGCAGAGATAAATGGCTGCCCCTTACCTCTGTCATGGGCCAGACACTTTGGAGACCTTTGGCTCCCGGAAGGCTTTGCCGGACCTGAATGGTACATCTTTGGGGGATGCCTCAGAGCAAAGGAATAACCACAGTGCCCTTGGCACCCATCAGTGTTTTTAGTGGGGGGTTGGTTGTGTACTTCCCTAAAAATAAAGAATATTGTAGATAAAGTTCCCATCTTGAATTTTCCAGTTAGTCACCACACTTAGCATGGGGCACACCATGCTAAGGTGTAGAAGGGAAGGACTAAGGCACTTGGGGTAGCTCAGGAAGACTCAGATTTAGGCTAAAAGAAATGGTTTCTGTTCACAGGAATGTTTAGTTACAGGTATTAGGAAGAATACATACATTCATATATTCAAGACTTTGATTTTTGTCCTCCTCCACCCCTCAAAGCTGCAATTTTTGCTTGGTGGAGAGGGCACATGCACGAAAAGGCAAAGCAGCGCCCCTTGCCCTGTTGGGTAGCAACAGACCTGAACACCTTGCTCCCAGGAATAAGCTCAGTCTGAGTGTGGGGTGGTGTTGTACCTGTATTTATATGTACACAAAACAAACCTTGAGGGTCTCCCAAGTGCTAGCAAAGAAATGCAAACTCGTTTTGTGACCCCAGGACCCTGTGCTTGCCCAGCAGAGAGACAGCAGTGGCTTTGCTGAAGGAGAAGGTGGGAAGGGGCTGGGGCTCACCCTGTGCCTGCCGCGGGGTTCAGGTCTACCCCCTCCTCCTCGGTCAGCACCGGGAGGCCACATGTTCCCTGCCTGCTTGTTTAAAGTCCTCTCTCAGCGAGGCTGCCGGGATGGAGGGATCATAAAGAGTTCAGCCCCTTGTCCCCAGCGCACCCGTCCTTCTGGGGCCCGTGGGCAAAACTTGCTTGCAATTTCCTCAGGCCGTGACCTTTGTTTTGACCATGGTGGAGGAGGATTGCAATCCATCAAACCCAGGGCTGCCTCTGGCTGGCAGAGGGAGTGCCTTTATGAGGGGCAGGAAGGCACAGAGAGGAAAGTGGCACCACGTGTGCCACAGGACATGCTCCTGACAGAGCTGAGAGTTTGCTCTGATTTTCCTTCCCAAATGGATTCTGTATCATGATTTCCTGCAGGAGAGATGTCTTGCAGGGTGTGTGCTTTGAGCCAGCCCTGCAGACCAACCAGCAGCATCAGGATCATACTTCTGGCTGGAGCTTGAGCAAAGTGGGATGTGCCTGCAGATTTACCACCTCTGAAGCCCTGGCTGCTAATGGTCCCTGCACTTCCAGGTTTTTGGAAGATCCCAATCCAGCAGCACTGTTTTGTTAGGAAAATCAGTAGTAAACTAGAACTATCCCTTGGGAAACGGCTCCTGTAGGTGTCTGTCTCTCCACTCAATTTCCCAGGGGGGCAATTCATCCCAGGAGCACAAGTTCCCCTGCATCCGGGTGTCCCTTTTGAAGCCATACCTGCATATGAAACGAATCTCCCCCGAGGAATGCAGCCTGTGCATACCAGTCTACCCCGCTTCCTTTGGCTGCCTGCCTCTGCCTCCCCTCCCTCTGATCTCCGCTTCCCTAGGGAAAAGCATCCTACCAAACTTCCCTGCCATTGAATACAGATTCCCTTGGGAAATTACTCTGTCCCATATCCCCCTTTGACCAATCCTTGGAGAGGCAACTCAGTTTTGGGGTCAGAAGAGAGGGTTGCAATATTTCCCCTAGCCCCTTTTGTAACAGCAAGCATGGCCTTGAAACCTCATACCATCCTTTCCAGCCCAACTGACCACTTGCATGGGAAGCAGGCACGTTTTTCCCTAGGAAGGAGCTGTATGCTAATTTCCAGGCACAGCAGACCATGATGTGAAGAAATGTGCTGCTTGGCTCCTTGTTTGATGAGGATCTGTTCAGCTCAGAGAGGAGAAAAAGGGAAAGGGAAGTCCTTTTACACTTCAAACTGAAAACCTTATGCTGGGGGAGGTAGCTCCTTGAACTGAAAGGAGGAATGCATAAGTCCCCCAGAAAGTCTTTAGAGGACAATCCAGACCTATTTGGAGGCATCACCTTTCTCTCCTATGTCAGTTGCTGTCACACTTTAACTTGTGTGCCTGGATTCCAATGCCACTTCCCCTCTGCACCTCTGTGCCCACTGCCCGACTCACACCAAACACAAGCCTCTTCTCTGCCCTTGTCTCCAAGCACATCCCAACACCCAGTTCAGTGCCCACCGCCCTTAGAGCCATCCCAGCCCACCAACCCCACAAACCCTCCACTGCTTTGCCCTGCAGGTCCCAGATCTTCCTGGTGCTGGGAGCCCCCAGTGTGAGACACCTTTGAGAGCATCCACTTACTGCTTCCCTCCAGCTGCTGGGAGGCTGTTATGGACAGTGGTAGCATCCCCTATGTATGGGAGAGCTATGTCCCCTCATCACCAATCTGTCCCCTTGAGAGGACACCCAGGCAGGGTCAGGGGCAGCTCCTTCTCCAGGTGGAGAGGAACAAAGCCTAGCACTGAAACAGCCTTTTTGCAGGGATGAGGGCTTGTTTTACTGGTGCAACCCACGACCAGCCAGATGTCAGATCTGGAAGAGGAGAAGGCAGTGACCATCATATGGGCACATGTGCTAGCTGCCATCCCATGTGTATGAC